AATTACATGTCCGAATTTGACTAAGTCTGATTCGTCTCTGATGTGATGGTACTTATCGCGATTGTCCTTGACAGTTATTTTTCCATTGGAGGATCGGGCATTTTGGAGGCGCTTTTGACGTCATAGTTGTCGGCAGAGAAAGAGCAGTCTATCGCGAAATTTTGTCAAATTCTCATTGACCGAAATTTGCATGGTTTCCTCGTTGTCGCGAATTTGCTGGAGTTTCTAAGTACATGAAATTTAGTGACAACGGATTTCAAGCGAGCTATAATTCGGCGTGGACCTGTTCGTTGTTTTTTGGGGTTACCAACTCTGTGCGAGTTAACTATATCATCTTTTGATAGCTCTATTCCGGCAATTGAGGTAGCCTCAATTGCAAGGAGTTTGAAACTGGTGTCTTTCCCTACTGTTTCAGGAATCCCCCATACTCGGATGAGCGGTCGTCTGCCGTACTGCTCAAGGTCATCAATTTGTCGACGCATTTCGTCGTTCTCGTTATGTAAGTGGTTTAGCTCCGCACGAATTGGGGCGACTTTCTCTTCAATCATGGAGGAAATTTCCTCGCGAAAAGACTCGCGGATAACCTCTCTAACAGCTTCGGCAATTTTTAGAATATCCTCTGGAGATAGTGTCAAAGGGCCATTTAAAACATAATGTTGTTGAAAACCAGGATTGAACTGTTGGAGTTGTGGGTATAAGTTTTCATAGCCATTAGCAGATAGCGATGTTGGCGTTGAAGTACAAATAGGAGATGGGTTTGTTGCTCCTGTGAGGTATCGGTAGGGTTTTCAGATATTGATCCCTCCTTTGATTTCTTAGGAGAGCGAGCTGCCGCATCAGCAAAAGATTTTGACATGTCTCGAAGAGATCTTTTTTTAGATTCCCCATTTCCAAGATTACACAACGATTACACAATGACAAGGACAGTAACTTTTATGGAAACAAATGTTTTTGTCTCTTATACACTATCTAGGTTTACATGCCTTAAATCTTAGAACTTAGGACGTCTATTGAATCGCACATTCAGGTTGTCGTGAGTAATGTTCATAACGTTAATACCAGCATAAAATTCAAACACAAAGTTTTAACTCACATATTTCATCATTTCTCTCCGAATTTTCAAATCATAATACACCTTTCCATGTTCTGATGGTTTTTAAGCCTATACCACATACATTCTCAGCTGAATTTAACTGATAACTTACATTTTGGTCGGAACTGACTAGAAACCGTGCACAATCGAACAATGGCCGCAACTCCACCTCCACTGTTTTCACTGTAAAAATATATTACATGTACACTGTATATGCACACAGGGTATAGAAGTACAGGGTGTTTCACAATATATGTCACACATCTAAAGACAGATAGATAAATGACAACTAAAGCTACAAATATATTTTATGTATCATTTTAATCATGCAGCATAATTATGTTCAAAATCATCTTAGGGGTCAGAAAAACCCAACATTCTCAATGTCAGTTACTAGGGCAACAAATCCTAAAATGTTATTCTCCAAGAGTTTCCCAACATTACATCCTAAATAACACAAGACTCTAAATGCTTAGACATTTCTGACTACTGTTTTGTAAATTTCACAGGATACTTGAGACTTTGCTTGTTTTATATCTGGCTTTTTAGAACCCTCAAGATACATATCTTTTTTTTTATCTAAAGTTGCATATAAATAAATGTGTCGTTTCAGAACCACTGGTATGTGTTAATTGATCTCCACTTCTTTCCCCCATCCTTTCATTCAATCTTGCAGACACTGAAAGTCAACTGGCTTTAAATGCTGAAATCTTGTATGCAGACAAACAACTCAAATATAAGATTTCTAAATACACTTAGGGGGGGGGGGGATTTAGCTGTCTTTCATCTTTACATTAAAATTTAGTTCAAATTCTCTTATTATTCTTAATATATGAAAACTACATAGCAATTTCTGGACAGAATATGTTTTATCATCACACCCTGTACAATATTCAGGAAGTCGTTCTTATAATTAAAGTTTACAACAAATTTTTGCGGCAAGTTGTATTCCAGTTTGAGAAAAGGTGAAATTATGAGGTCACTGATTATATCATCAGTTACTTCATGGTATATTATAATTTCCCCAATACTATACAATATCATAACTTTAGATCAATATGCTTTCCTATCGTGTTTTGGTATTTTTGGTATTTTTGGTATTTTGCTCAATATTCAGATTATGCCTATATTGATGTGTGACATAGATTGTGAAACACCCTGTACGTAGATTTTTTAACACTGGAATACTTTCTGGGACCCCCCCCCCCCTTCTCCAAGAAGAAAACAAGCAAACAAACAAACAAAAAAAAAAAAAAAAAAACAATCACACATATGGCATGTCAAACGTTGCTATATTCGATAATCTTGTGATGTATATTCAAAATCTTGTGATGTATGTTCGAAATCTTGTGATGTATGTTCGAAATCTTGTGATGTATATTCAAAATCTTGTGATGTATGTTCGAAATCTTGTGATGTATATTCAAAATCTTGTGATGTATATTCAAAATCTTGTGATGTATGTTCAATATCTTGTGATGTATATTCAAAAACTTGTGATGTATATTTTATAATCTTGTGATGTATGTTCAAAATCTTGTGATGTATATTCAATAATCTTGTGATGCATGTTCGAAATCTTGTGATGTATATTCGAAATCTTGTGATGTATATTCTATAATCTTGTGATGTATGTTCGAAATCTTGTGATGTATATTCGAAATCTTGTGATGTATATTCTATAATCTTGTGATGTATGTTCGAAATCTTGTGATGTATATTCGAAATCTTGTGATGTATGTTCGATAATCTTGTGATGTATATTCGAAATCTTGTGATGTGTGTTCTACAATTCAGTGATGCGTGCAATATGATGCAACAGTACTTCAGTAAAGTAAGGACAATTTTCATTGGTTGGAAATAACGAAAGTAGCCGGAACGGCGATCGACATCCTGAGGCTGATGCATGCGTGCACACAACTTTGCAAGTGTGAAATTGGCGAATTCAACCTAAAGTCAAAATTATAGGTAATACTATATTTTGAAAATGTATTGTTTTGGTATCACGAAGCACTAATTAAGTCAGTCATAACCTGATAACGTGAAAAGTGGGAATCAAGAACATTAATTTGACTGACGACATCAACATGATCAAAAACAATTTAATGGCTAACTGCTGGAGAATGTTTTATCCTATTTTAAGGTCCTCATATTGTAGTGATGTTGATTAATCGGTATGATTTTATATAGGTGCTACTTAGAATAATCTAACTGTGTCTCGGGACAAACTCTCACCACGCAGGGTTCGAAATTGGCCCATTGACCGTAACACTAGTCCAGGGACGACTTTGCAATAAATAAATAACACGACAAATTTTTAGGAGAAGTTGGCTGTCAGGAAAAGATTAATTGTCATGCATGATTGATTATTGACATTCACAAATTTGTCCAATTATTTTCATAGTAAATGTATTAAAAATTTCTTAATATTTGAAAGCTGTTTTTACAGCCTGACATAATAAATTCAAAAATTGGTAATATACCGTATATACTCGCCTATAAGTCGGTTGTATTTAATAAGCTTATATTTCAGATGGACTGACCTCATATAATACCATTCTTTTTATAGCTCGCCTATAAGTCAGACGCAGAGTTTTGGACCAGAGATTGACTCCCAAAAAACCGACTTATAGGCGAATATTTACATTTCCAATGTCTTTGTCCGAGATAAAATTACCAATTGTAAATGTAATTGATTTCCTCATGAATGTTTTGGCGCGGTTCCAAAAAAACCACGTGCAGGGCGGGACAACACCTAGAGAGAAGCAGGCTTGGAGCCTGTGGATTGGCGGAATCAAAGCATGTAAATATAAGGAATAACTGTCAGATTTTTCGAATTCATGAAGATGATCAATGGATTGGCTTGTGTGATAATTTTATGCATAAACGCCTTCGGCGTTTATGCAAATTATCACACAAGCCAATCCATTGCCATTGATCACTTCATGAATTCGAAAAATAAGACAGTTATTCCTTAAGTATATACGGTATGTAATGATATATAATATATGTAATGATATATCATATTCTTGACAAGCAATAAACAATGATAAAAATTATTGTCGCATATCTGCGTGATTTTCTTTGATCTTTCTGTGGTGATATTATCCCATATCACATGTGCGCGATAATACTTTCCAAACATGTTTCAAAGTTTTTACACTCTGTATCATACAGTTTTAAAGAACAGTTTTATGAGCTCATAAGTATATTAAATGCTTATTTTATCAAAACCTGCCACTAAAAATTCAAAAGTCTTAAGTTTAACCAAATTGTCCTGGGTATTCTTAGTAAAGTATGTCAAAGGTCAAGTGAATTGTAAGGCTGGTATTTTTCCTTATGTTTTATGGCAATCAGTGCACATGGTAAATAGCATAAAATTACCCCTTAAAGGTCTTATGCAAGGAGATAGCCAATCAAAATGAACTCAGTCTAATGTAGTTCTATGTATATAGAGACAATAATATTTCTTTTCTTTTTTTATTTTCAGCAACTTTATGTAGGTCTACAGTTTTAATTTTGAACTCATGCACTAGTCTAGGAATATCATATTAGCAGAATTGTGCCACTGAATCAAAGGGAACTCTTTTTTTTAGGTACGCATGATCGATGACTAACTTCCTCGATGGTGTGTTGGCTGTTTGCCCATGTGTATTTCGGGGTATAGGTATGTTTACTCTCAATTTTCTTTCTTAAAAGCCGCATAAGGGGTATATTTTTTCTGATCTCAAATTTTTGTCTAAGCAGTAATCTTTTTTCTCATTCATGAATTATCTGCTGAGAGTCTAGTTAATTAATTTATTTAATTAAAGCTATGTAGTAACATATAGTGAAATTATTTCCTTGCGTGAGACCTTAAGAAAAATCAGGTTACTCATTTTTATGACAATTTCTTTGATTTCAGGAGTAGCCTGAATTCCCTTTTAAAGATCCAAAATGGTGATTTTACAGTGCGGCATGCTGTCTGGTCATCAACGGAGACTTTTGACACCCGTAATACCCACATTTCTACCATTCACCTCCGTAACCTTTGTTGAGTTCATCAGACAGGTAAGAAAAACAATATTGTTAATTGAAATAATTTTATCAAGATAAATAAAATGATTAATAAAAAAAAAATTACATGAACAGACTCCCTCATATAAGAAAATGTCACATTTTACACATTGCAATTATACATCATTTACATATCCACATTTTCCCCATTTACACATGCAGTTGAATAGATTTAGTGCTTAATAATACATAGCAACAATTATTACATGTAAGACAATTCATAAAATACATGAATGCATTGAACTATATTTACATTTGCCAATGTCTTTCCTTATATGACAATACTAAAAAAATGACATTCAATTTTCAATGACATGCAGTCGGTCACATGATCAGACTTTCTTGTGTATGGAAAGCAAACTGCACGTGCAATTTGGAAAGTTCCGACTGTGATGTCACATAACGTCGTAGGAACGTTACATTGCATTTCAAAATCTAAGTCTAAATAATGCCTATATTTGTTTGCAAAATGAATGAAAACGTAAAATATAAATATAAGAAATAAAATATCATTTTTAGAGCTTCATTGGGGTATGACATGAAGTCGGTACGTGATCAAATTTACTATAACGCCCTTTGGGCGTTATAGAATTTGATCACGTGACCGACTTCATGTCATACCCCAATGCAACTCTAAAAATGATATCTTATTTCTTAAGTGAAATACAGATTTCATACATTTAATTAAAATGCTCAGCATCAATACCCCCCTTTCACAATCTTGCAACTTTCTTAATTCAAAGTCACTAGGCAACACTAAAGATTTCCACTTATTGCTTTTCAGTCCAAGACAGGAAGTTGAGGACAGGACATCCTGTGCTGTCCTCGGTACCAGCTTATGAGGGAACCAGCTGCAGTGGACAAAGCACGTTACATCATAGGATAATAGGTAAGTCTCCGGAGTAGTGTTTGCAGCAATTCTCGTACTTGGTCCTGCATTGAAGCTTCAGGACTATTGATATTTATCTCTGCATGGTTTCTCTTATGGCTTTGGTTCTTCCAGAAACATGTTACTGGTGGTGGTCCCTATATTCTTCTGGCTTTTGTGGTGAGGAATGTTTCATTTCTAGCTATTTTCTGATCACATTTTGTTCGGCGTCCGTCAATCTAGCTGTCTGTCCATCTGTCTGTCTGTAAACTTTTCATATTTTCGACTTCTTCTCAAGAACCCCAATTTCAACCAAACTTGCCACAAAGCATCCTTGGGTGAAGGGGATTCAAGTTTGTTCAAATAAAGGGCCTCGCCCTCATTCAAGGGGAGATAATTGGGAATTAATGAAAATTTGATGGTATGTTTTAATTAAAAATCTTGTTCTCAAGAACCACTGTGCCAGGAAAAATGAAACATATGGAGGAACATCCTCGGGTAGTGTAGATTCAAGTTTGTTCAAATCATGACCCCCTGGGGGTAGGGCGGGGCCACAATGGCTGACCAAAGTTTAACATAGAAATATATAGGAAAATTCTTTAAAAATCTTCTTCTCAAGAATGACAAAGCCATAATTGATCCTATTTATATGGAAGCATCCTCAGGTAGTGTAGATTCAAGTTTGTTCAAATCATAACCCCCAGGGTAGGGCGGGGCCACAAGGGATGATCAAATTTTTGTATAGAAATTTATAGGAAAATTCTTTAAAAATAACCTTCTCAAGAAAAGCAAAGCCATGATTGGTCAAGGGACTACTTTTGGATTTAAACTTTTCAATAAAAAACCAATTTTTACTTTTTCCTAGCCACAGTGCTCAGGTGAGCGATGTGGCCCATGGGCCTCTTGTTTTTTTTTTTTAAATTATCAATCATTAAAAATAAATTATCAGTCGTTAAAAAAATTTACTTCATATTTGAAGTGCTTTAAACCGACCCTTTGATGAAAGTGACCGGTGTTTTTTGCACCAAGAGTTAGCAAAGCTTGGAAGGTTTATTGGTAAAATATAAGAAGGAAGTTATGATTTTGGTGTTACTGTTGTTGTTATTTAAGTTTGATTTGATTTTTATATTACGAGTATTATGAAACTGTTATTTTATTACTGACCGATGGTTAATTTTCATTGTGAACAAATGTACAAAGATGAGGAGCATAATATAGTTGGCTATGTATATTGCCCAATTTTTGAACATACTATGTAATAAATATTAATAACAACCTTTGAATAATTTGAAAGACAATATTATAAATATGATAGCATTTTTGTACATGAGCATACATTTTTTGAAAGGAAAAAAAAAATATTCAATTACATTAAAAAAATTTTTTTTTTTCATTTTCTTGCGAATTATCAGATCATTCTTCTATTATTTAAATACTCTGTCATTATGAAACCTTGTTAATAATTTAGTAAATATTAATTGTACATTTGCACCAATTTTTCTATGGCACTTTCACACTAAGAATGCCACGTGCAAAATTATATACAGGAACAATTTTGAACAAATATATGCAAGTGAGTTGTAAATTTGATATGTAATGCATACATTACAAAAACCTATTACAGTGTTCACTAAAATGAAATGTAATTGGACTCTTATATAAATACTTGGTATATGTGATATAGATATTATGGATGTTATTTTTGAGAATGACACAAGTAATGAAATTTTTCAGCATTGAATTGGATTCTTGAACCAGAGCCATGTGAACCTGGTCCACCTGTACCTCTCATTGAAGACCTGTTAACATCACCAGAGTATCTTCATTCTGATACACCTATGGTATGGTTACGACATGCATTATCTCTGTCAGAAGAATCCATTTAAAGAGCTGCATTGGCAACGAAACAACCCAATGTGGTCGATTGTAAGGAAATACAGAATAACAGCTTCCAACTTTGGTGCAGTTCTCAGTTCTAAGCAAAGGCGGTAAATTTTTGCGAAATAGACTTTTTAAATTACAGTCAAACTTTGTTATCTCAAACCCATTATCTCAAATTCCACGGATATGTCAAAATAATTTTGAAGTCCAAACCATTTATAAAAGACTGGGACATTTTATTCTCGATAACTCTTTATGTATTATTCTTGAATCCATGGATATTTCCAACATTTTTCTTGGTCTCATTGAGTTTGAGATAATGAGGTTCGACTGTAATGACTAGATATTTGTACATAAAGATGCAGGAAATATAAGATTAATAACCAAAAATCATATTTTCTTCTCCAGATTGACATTGTCACTGAAGAAACGGCTGATGTCGGCTTACAATCTGGAGTCCATCAAGGCTGTTGCATTGGGTATCACTCATGAAGATGATGCTTTGAGAAAGTTTGAAAAGGACTTTGATGCAGCTGTAGAGCAGTCAGGTATACAGCACAAAATAAAATTCCTTTAACCTCTGACATGTTAACATTCAATGTGTCAAAACAAATAACAGGACTTATCCTGGTGACAAACAGAAATCAATTACTGGTCTAATTGTAAAAAAAAATATTCAATTACCAACATATTCCAGAAAATTTGCTTGAAATCTATTTGAAGTGGAAGGATTATAAAAGCTCTACCTAGACTTTGTTTGCATTACAGAATCAATTGTATTATGGTTTGTTTGCATTCAGTAGTAGTATAATTTTTTCTGAAAGGGATATGGTTGCATGAATCCAGAGTGTTAGGAGCTTCACCTGATGGCTTAGTTGTTCGACCACCAACATGCAGTGTATTTTATCAAACTCCAGAAGCCAAAGACGCCATTCCTGATATTGTAGAGGTGAAGTGTCCATATACAGCATCGTCTTCAACAGTAGCAGATGGGGCACAAAATTTGAAGGATTTTTCATAGGTAAATAACATTAAAAATCTGTTTTGTCCAGTACTTTGAAATTAAAAATCTTGGTGAGTAAATGATTTCAATACATGTATTTATTTACAAGTGCAACTGTTCAATATGGTATGAAGATATTGAAAAAGGAGGGGATATGAACTGGTATAACACAACTAAAGTGTTTTTTTGATTTTTTTTTTTTAGATCTTAAACAAGATACCCTGTGCCTGAAAACCAGTCACCCATACTATCATCAAATTCAAGGCCAGCTACACATATGTAACAAAACAAAATAATCCATGGATTATTTAAATACTCTGTCATTATGAAACCTTGTTAATAATTTAGTAAATATTAATTGTACATTTGCACCAATTTTTCTATGGCACTTTCACACTAAGAATGCCACGTGCAAAATTATATACAGGAACAATTTTGAACAAATATATGCAAGTGAGTTGTAAATTTGATATGTAATGCATACATTACAAAAACCTATTACAGTGTTCACTAAAATGAAATGTAATTGGACTCTTATATAAATACTTGGTATATGTGATATAGATATTATGGATGTTATTTTTGAGAATGACACAAGTAATGAAATTTTTCAGCATTGAATTGGATTCTTGAACCAGAGCCATGTGAACCTGGTCCACCTGTACCTCTCATTGAAGACCTGTTAACATCACCAGAGTATCTTCATTCTGATACACCTATGGTATGGTTACGACATGCATTATCTCTGTCAGAAGAATCCATTTAAAGAGCTGCATTGGCAACGAAACAACCCAATGTGGTCGATTGTAAGGAAATACAGAATAACAGCTTCCAACTTTGGTGCAGTTCTCAGTTCTAAGCAAAGGCGGTAAATTTTTGCGAAATAGACTTTTTAAATTACAGTCAAACTTTGTTATCTCAAACCCATTATCTCAAATTCCACGGATATGTCAAAATAATTTTGAAGTCCAAACCATTTATAAAAGACTGGGACATTTTATTCTCGATAACTCTTTATGTATTATTCTTGAATCCATGGATATTTCCAACATTTTTCTTGGTCTCATTGAGTTTGAGATAATGAGGTTCGACTGTAATGACTAGATATTTGTACATAAAGATGCAGGAAATATAAGATTAATAACCAAAAATCATATTTTCTTCTCCAGATTGACATTGTCACTGAAGAAACGGCTGATGTCGGCTTACAATCTGGAGTCCATCAAGGCTGTTGCATTGGGTATCACTCATGAAGATGATGCTTTGAGAAAGTTTGAAAAGGACTTTGATGCAGCTGTAGAGCAGTCAGGTATACAGCACAAAATAAAATTCCTTTAACCTCTGACATGTTAACATTCAATGTGTCAAAACAAATAACAGGACTTATCCTGGTGACAAACAGAAATCAATTACTGGTCTAATTGTAAAAAAAAATATTCAATTACCAACATATTCCAGAAAATTTGCTTGAAATCTATTTGAAGTGGAAGGATTATAAAAGCTCTACCTAGACTTTGTTTGCATTACAGAATCAATTGTATTATGGTTTGTTTGCATTCAGTAGTAGTATAATTTTTTCTGAAAGGGATATGGTTGCATGAATCCAGAGTGTTAGGAGCTTCACCTGATGGCTTAGTTGTTCGACCACCAACATGCAGTGTATTTTATCAAACTCCAGAAGCCAAAGACGCCATTCCTGATATTGTAGAGGTGAAGTGTCCATATACAGCATCGTCTTCAACAGTAGCAGATGGGGCACAAAATTTGAAGGATTTTTCATAGGTAAATAACATTAAAAATCTGTTTTGTCCAGTACTTTGAAATTAAAAATCTTGGTGAGTAAATGATTTCAATACATGTATTTATTTACAAGTGCAACTGTTCAATATGGTATGAAGATATTGAAAAAGGAGGGGATATGAACTGGTATAACACAACTAAAGTGTTTTTTTGATTTTTTTTTTTTAGATCTTAAACAAGATACCCTGTGCCTGAAAACCAGTCACCCATACTATCATCAAATTCAAGGCCAGCTACACATATGTAACAAAACATGCTGCGACTTAATTGTGTGGACAAGAGTAGACTGCATTGTGATTAGAATAGTAAAAGACATTGAATGGACAGCAAATGTTTCAAAGCTGATAGATTTCTATGTTAACATTTTCATTCCAGCACTGATGGAAAACTGAGTTCTGGTTTGAACTTCTTGACACTTGGTTTGAACCTCTAGAATTTTCTAACAATGGAAAATGGGTAATCATGTTAAATGTGTTAAATGTTCCCAAGTCTTATAAATGTATGATATGATATGTCACAATCCAACATAAAACTTCTGGCTTATAAGGCTATTTTAAATAGCAATGATGATTAATAAAATCTACGTACTACATAAAAAAGAATATCAAAATTTAGAATCATTTTATTAATGAATTGAAGATGTTATTCTCAAAGTGAAAATGTAACATTTTTGTCTTTCATAATAGATAAATTGTTGAAAACATGAATTTGTTGAGTTGTGCTTTAAAGGTTAATATACTTGCAACTAGAGATTTAAGATTATAAGTAAACCATCTTCCAAATTATATTGTCAAATGAAGAATGGAATTGCCAAACATTAATTCTTGTAATAAATCCATGCTAACAAAAGGGATTTTCATTTTCTGAAGTACATGTATTACAACATACTACAAAGTTAACAAATATAACCATTGACATTGATAACAAATCAAAATTTGCTTATCCTTTGCACTTTGGTATGAATATCTTTACTGTTTAGTGTAACATACTGTCACACACCAATGCAAATTTATAATAAGTACATGTATCTTTAAGTAATTTCTTTCAAAACTGGAGCTTGCAAGTTTACAAGACAAGAACAGAGTTGAAATATTTTTGTTGAGATTGGTCTGTAAGTAGATGGGATGTGACAGAGAATCTTGTAATTCTTTATCCTCTCGTTGGCTCTTTCCACATGAATACGTGCTTTAGCAATCTTGTAACACAGTGCTGCTTCTTGTTTGGTAAACTGGCCTCATGTCGATAAAAAAGCTGGTATATTTAAGCAGACACCCTGGGGCAACTGGTCATGAATGGTGAAACCTTTGACCGCCAAAATAAGGTCTCCAGCTTTGAACTTTCGTAAAACTTGGCTGTGACGTACAATAGCTACATCAGAAGTAGAACCTGGGTACAGCATGGAGCAAAATGTAAGTGCACCATTTGGAGCCACGCAAGTTACCGCTTTAACAGTATGGCGACTTTTGTACATACTGTAGGCCATGGCCTGATTGGCCATATGTGTTGGGATGTCCTGGGTTGTTTCAATTGCATCCATGGATGCTCTAGCAGAGGAAAAATCCTCAAAAAATTTTGGCAGAGACCCTGAAAAAAAGTTGGAAAAAAATTAATTTGATTATTTGTAATTGTGTAAAAAAAAAAAAATTGTGTTACAGTCAAACTTTCAAGAATACAATAAATTTAACTGCATTAAATTTTTGCAAGTCATTATGATAAATTTTAAAACAAACCTTTGCATTTAAGCTGACTTGGAAAACATTCATTGACTTCGCGATCAGACAGCATCTTGTGAAGTGCATGAACAAGGGTATGAAAGAAGTTCGAAATTGTTGGTCGATTGACACAGAATCTATGAGCCAAGTCAGTGTCCCGTAGATTGAGTTTTAACTTCATTAGTACAATGAGCAGTTGGTCCTCTGTTTTCATTGAAGGAGTCCAACCATTTAATAATCGAGTTCAAATCGTTGTAACAATCTGACTAAGATTTCGAATATATCTGTCATACTGTAGGGATGTATACAAAAGCATCTGAAAATAAATTTGTTTTAATACTGATTAAAATATTTCCAAAAACTGAAAAGATTGTAGATAAATTAGTTTTAAGTAATAACAATATTAGTCACAGGAGTCAGGTTTGCTACTATCCATACTATGCATTTATTTAAAAACTGTTGAAATGAGACATTTAGTGTTCTGATAATTGTTGTCATAGAGTAAAACATGGTTTATACAGAGAAGGTTTTAGATATTATTCACCCAAAGAGCAAATTAAATGATTTTTTTCTCTGTTATTTTAAATATTATGAACTCAATGATAATAAGAAAATATGTTAACATAACAGTCAATCTAAGATGCTCATTCCTCAACGCCAGTCAACGGCAACACGTTTTACTGAAATTGTTAGGAAATAGGAAATCACAAGTGGAATTCCTTTAAATGTACCTTCTCTTCGTTGTCTTTAATATAGTGAATTGACATTGGCTTCCTTTTACTAGACTCTATTTTTAGGGCAAGAATTCCTTTTCCAGTTGTCGTATTTCTGTTGAGAGGCGCTGCATTTCTTGAGTACAGTTAAATGTGCAGGATGCTGAGTAGTTGTGCTCTGATATCAACTGAAAATATATTGTAAATCATGAGTAATTGATGTACAGTTAAAAGAACTGTTATATTATTAAAAATTATTGAAAATGTTTCAGTGTTGGTCATTTGTCACCATTGGTGTTTTAAATGAGCTTTACTTTTTCTTGATCTTGACATTTTGGTGCTTTTAAAATCTGCAACTGGTCCATCTGTGAGATGACAGGGACTCCTCACTTTTGAGTTTTTTCCTCCTTTGTAAAATAAACTTGAATTATTTTTTTTTTCAGTTGTAAGCTACTCTGTTTATACATGTACCCTTTTAAATATTTTTAGTAAAATATTCTCAATTTAACTTCACCCACCCACCATCCAAAAACAAGATGTCAGTCATATTTTGAAAAATAATTTCACCTTTTTGTACATTCAGGATCAGAGAAATCCATGGCCTTTCCTTCATTCCATGCAAAATATGCAGGGTCCCCCTCCTTCTTACCATCCTTAAAGTGGCAGGAGCAGGTGCGATCATTCTGATCTCCTGGTTGGCGATCAGCTCGTCTAAAAATATATTATACAAAGACTGAGTGAAGGAGAATTAAAAAGCAAAACATGTTCATTTGGCATGTTATTCTCAAATCATAGCCTAAATGACTTATTTTTTTCAATATTTTATTAAATGTTACATTTACTTGCACGTACAATTAAGATAACCATGTGCATAACATTAACAAACGGTAGCAGTACTTGGTAGTAATAATACGAAATAAAATGTAATAAAAACAGCTGTTAAACAAAAATTAACCTTGCTGCAAATTGCCCAGTTTTTGTAGTATACTCTTCGTTATTCTTCTGCTATATTGAATACTACGAGATTTAACTTTTTAGCATGTATAAATACTTTATTATGTACCCATCAAATTCCTTGTTTTTGTTACTGTTAATTTTACAGAGTTTGATCCAATTTTTCGGATCACCACACTGTGGTTTTCTGAATCCATATCACCACTCTCTGAAACTGATGACGTAGTACGCAAAAACATGACGTTATTTTTGTTGCGCGTTAAAAAGTCCCTTGTTATTATGCTTTGTTTTATGGATAAATATTAAACAATTGATCTCTAATGTTTTATTCTGCTATATTTAGCTAGTTATAAGGGGGTATATAATAAATTTATCATTATAACAGTAACTTGATCCGAAGAGCCGTATCACGTCTCGTTGACAGGCGCAGATCATCAGATCAAACTCGACGCTTCGCGTCTCGTTAGATCTGATGATCCGCGCCTGTCAACGAGACGTGATACGACCCTTCGGTTCAAGTTACTGTTATAATAATATATATGTATCTGACAATGCAGTATCGTGACATATCGTTACAAGTACCTACAAATTTTGTCAATATATCTACGTTTACTGAGTTTTTTCCCTAGCAGGCCGAAATATCTCCATCATGTCACCAGGGTCAACACTCGTGCATCTCGTAATTAGTGCTGTAATAAATATAGTTTTCCCGTAAACATGGTAAACAATCGCTTCAGCTACTTTCGTTATTTCCAACCAATGAAAATTGTCCTTACTTTACTGAAGTACTGTTGCGTCATATTGCACGCATCGCTGAATTGTAGAACACACATCACAAGATTTCGAATATACATCACAAGATTATCGAACATACATCACAAGATTTCGAATATACATCACAAGATTTCGAACATACATCACAAGATTATAGAATATACATCACAAGATTTCGAATATACATCACAAGATTTCGAACATACATCACAAGATTATAGAATATACATCACAAGATTTCGAATATACATCACAAGATTTCGAACATGCATCACAAGATTATTGAATATACATCACAAGATTTTGAACATACATCACAAGATTATAAAATATACATCACAAGTTTTTGAATATACATCACAAGATATTGAACATACATCACAAGATTTTGAATATACATCACAAGATTTCGAACATACATCACAAGATTTCGAACATACATCACAAGATTTTGAATATACATCACAAGATTATCGAATATAGCAACGTTTGACATGCCATACACACATACAATTAATTAAATTGTTTTAGTAATAAAATAACACCACACGCAGCAACATAACAACAACAAAATTCTGCACACCATTATATGTTTCAATGTTCTATAAGTATTAACGGTACTTTCAAAAGTACGGAGAGAGAGATTAAATAAATTCGATACGGCACTATCCATGCTAATCTTTTAGAAAATAAAAAGAAGTTTTTTCATTAGTGGGATTTAGTTCCGTCTTTATTAGCTCACCTGAGCCAAAGGCTCAAGTGAGCTTTTCTGATCACAATCTGTCCGTTGTCTGTCGTCGTCGTCGTTGTTGTCGTTGTTGTCGTCGTCGTCGTCGTTAACTTTTCACATTTTCATCTTCTTCTCAAAAACCACTGGGCCAATTTCAACCAAACTTGGCACAAAGTATTCTTTGGTGATGGGGATTCAAGTTTCTTCAAATGAAGGACCATGCCCTTTTCCAAGGGGAGATAATCATGAATTTGTTAAAAATTAATGGCATTTTGAAAAAAATCTTCTTCTCCAGAACCGCTGGGCCAGGAAAGATGAAACTCATGTGGAGTCATCCTCAGGTAGTGTAGATTCAAATTTGTTAAAATGATGACCCCCGGGGCAAGGGTGGGGCCAAAATGACCGACCCAAGTTTTACATAGGAATATAAAGGAAAAATCTTTAAAAATCTTCTTCTCCAGAACCACTGGGCCAGGAAAGATGAAACTCATGTGGAGTCATCCTCAGGTAGTGTAGATTCAAGTTTGTTCAAATCATGACCCCCGGGGCAAGGGTGGGGCCAAAATGGCCGACCCTAGTTTTACTTGGGAATATATAGGAAAAAACTTTAAAAATCTTCTTCTCAAGAACCACTAGAACAGGAAAGATGAAACTCATGTGGAATCATCCTGAGATAGTGTAAATTCAAGTTTGTTCAAATCATGAGCCCCGGGGCTAGAGCTGGGCCAAAATGGCCGACCCAAGTTTTACATAGGAATATATAGGAAAAATCTTTAAAAATCTTATTCTCAAGAACCACTGGGCCAGGAAAGATGAAACTCATGTGGAATCATTCTCAGGTAGTGTAGACTCAAGTTTGTTCAAATCTTGACCCCCCCCCCCGCTAGGGTGGGGCCACAATGGTCGACCCAAGTTTTACATAGGAATGTATAGGAAAAATCTTTTAAAATCTTCTTCTCAAGAACCACTGGGCCAGGAAAGATAAAACTCATGTGGAATCATCCTCAGGTAGTGTAGATTCAAGTTTGTTCAAATCATGACCCCCGGGGCTAGGGCGGGGCCAAAATGGCCGACCTAAGTTTTACATAGAGAAATAGAGGAAAAATCTTTAAAAATCTCCTTCTCAAGAACCATTGAGACAGGAAAGATAAAACTCATGTGAAATTATCCTCAGGTAGTGTAGATTCAAGCTTGTTCAAATCATGACTCTGGGGCCAGGGTTGGGCCAAAATGGCCGACCCAAATTTTACATAGGGATATATTGGGAAACCAATATATTTAAAATCTTCTTTTCAAGTACTTCAAAGCCATGATTAGTGATATTTATATGGCATCATCCCAAGGTAGTGTAGATTCTAGTTCAAATCATGAACCCCTGGGGGGTTAAAATTCAAGCCCCCCCCCTCCCCCCACCATCACCTCAGGAAACTTTCAGATCTGATCTGATATGTGCTTTTTCCTAGCCGATGTGCTCAGGTGAGCCTTGTGGCCCCTGGGCCTCTTGTTCACAAACTTGTAGGCTTCCTTTATCAGTTTAATTTAAGTGTTAAATTTTCATCTAGAAAGGACTAAAATTGAGGGGGAAATCGGTAAACAGTGAGGGAGTACATGATCCCACAGCAACCCCCCCCCGCCCCCCCCCCAAAAAAAAAAAGAAAAAATTCAAATCAAACAACAACAACAACTACAAAAAGGCGTAAAGCTTGAGAAGTTTTTTGTGTTTATTTTTTGCGTGGACCCTAAGGTCTGCGTAGTAAATAAGCGAGGTAAAAACCGTATGGCATGGGCATATGTCAGGCTACGCATTCGCGAGAATGCTGGAAAGTTTGCAACTGCATCATCTCGGGTCTTTCCGTCAGAGTTCGGAAAAACAACTTCCGCCATTCGGAAAGGCCCGAGTATTTGTGATTGAGAGAGTTCCCCCCCCCCCCCGTAAGACAGCTTACCCGTAGAATAATTCGCCATAATCGAATAAGAATAGACCGTGTTCATTGGCAAATCTTTTAAATCTGCATATCGTTTTTATTTGCGCATCTGAATTTCTTTCTCATACATACATGTACACTTTTATAAAATAAACATTGATTCCATGCAGATGCATTTTAAAGAGTAGGAAGTACTTGCCTTCATCGGTATTTGTTTTGTGCATTCCAACTCGCAAAAATAATTTCATATAGGCCTACAGCAGTCCAAATACAGCTTGATACAGGCCTGTAGAAACGTTTTTCCACGGGGAGCTCTGAGAAAGGGGGGGGGGGCTTTGAAAAAAAAAATCTGCGTACTACATAACTATATCTACACGTGTTCCATCAGATATATTTTTTCAATAGATTTCTTCCGTATAAATCAAGAACAGATTAAAGTCCTTGCCATTATGGGTTACATGTATCAATATAGCCCTCTTTTTTAAATGACAAAACTATATGCATATGTAAGCCAATCGGAGATAACATACAAGTTTGGCTTTCCAGAAAGCCTGAAATGTCATCTCTTTGGTATCAATAATGTCAAAGAAATAAAACAGAAAGGGAAATATTTTAATGCAATGAATATATGGATTATTACACCTGAAGTTCCCAAATGACTTATTCAGCAAACTCCACCGCAAAGTACGCAGTTTCTTTTGGCCGCAGTATATATCATATTGAAAGCATGGACGTCTGCGAGAGCACCCAAGGCGATTTTTGGTGAAATTTCATTCTAGCGGTCTTTGTGCTTCTGGGTGTTTACAATTTACTTAAATTCAAATACTTTCCTTGAACAATATTTTCTTAACACAATATCAACAATAATTATCATACATTTAAAAGCAGCTAATCATTAAATTTTGACAGGAATTAATTTAATAAATCCAATTACAGACTAAAAAATTAACATAAAATTAGCGTTGACCAATCTTCTTTCATTTTTTGCAGAATCTAATTGTAAGCTTGTTCTTTTGTGCCAGAACCAGTTTTTCCTTCGCGTCAACAAATCTATATATAGAAATCACGTCATTGTCAATACTTGATATCGCGATTACTTAACTTAGCGGAACTCTTTCGCGAAGGAGGTAGGAATCGGTTGTTGGGTGGGGACAATGTGCTATTCAATACAATGCAAGATCGATCATTGTAGCATTTACAAGTAGAGCTTTTAAAAAAAGCTTCCCGTCTTTAGCAACAATCTTAAACAGTAAACTGATCTACACCTATCAAGCCATTTAATTCTTTTGAATTTTGTATATCTACATTAGGCTTTTACTGGCATTAGCTCTACCACGGTTGTCGCTCGGTCATCTCCGTAAACTTTGACTGGCCGAGAACTTTCGGCAAACCTCGGCTGATTCTATTCCCTTCCTCAAACAAGAAAGGGGAAAAGAATAATTACAAATTGTAAAGCCTGCAAGCTATAAAAATCTAATTTTATTTCTAATGAAATTAAAGAGACCTTTTTATTTATTGCTATAAAAAATACCATGTTATTAAGAATTAACAACTGCTGATTTTGCTGTTCGTTTTGTCATTTTTTTAAGATTGGAAATCTTGCAAAATTGTTAAGTCGTACGAAAATTAGATCATCAGAAAGTTATCTCCCTTGCCTTGAACAGCATTTCAACCAATGAAATAATTGAAAATTTTCACATCATGCAATTTCTACCAATCACAAAAGAGAGGAAGTGCATAGTCCGAAGACTGTAAAAAACTTTAACTATACAATACCGTCTTCCAAGGAAGACGGTAATAAGGACAGATAAGTAAAAAATCCTGGTAGAATGCCTCGCTAAACAATCGCTGAACCAGCCTAATTTATTTTTGAGAGGAACCAATTCTAAATTGTCACATTTTTAACGCTATTTTTAATTAAGCGGACTCTTCTCGTTAAATTTTCCTTGAAAATCGTCACATTTTTAAGCAGATAAAATATTCTAAACTTTCCTTATTTGACGATCTACTATTTGAAGTTCAATATCTAGCAAAACATAGTGATTTCGGCATTAAATTGTTCGAATCATTCGATTGTCACTACTGTAAACAATGTCATTTGCCCCCAGAAATGTAGACTTTTCTCGACTTCACCGCAAAAGAGCGGTATTAAGTAAGATAACTGCGAGGTACTCATTGGTAGTCGCGATATTACGTATTCTCCTTGTGTGGCTTACCAATTTAAAGCTATCGTGCAAAGTCTTAAACCTATTATACGCAAGGAGCAAAGCGGTGTCCGCCATATTTCTCTACTTTGCGATAGTTATAATTCCAAATATATGTGATCAATCGCGGTCACGGGCTATTGCACACTCTTCCAGAAGGCCTAGAGTGTACACTAAACCCTCCAAAATATAAGCTTGTACTGTCTTTCGCTAAGTTCCAGAAACTAATACAATACAATTTTTTGAATGCTTTAAAAATTATAATAATAATTAATAATAAATTCATAAAAAAATGAATGTTACACTTTTACAAGCACCTGATTTTTTGCTTATGAAAAATACATTTATAAAAGAACGTATTACAATGCTTACCAGACGCCAGACAGTACAAGCTTGATCATGGATCATACGATAAGTAAAAACAAGAGTTATAAAAAGTAAAAATATTAAAATTCTTTCCCAAGTTTTCTTTCAGCGCCTACATCAACACTTTCCGTATACGCCCTGCGACATGAAAACAAGGGTTATCTGTGAAACCGGCCTGTCCA